TTTTATGTGTCTGACTATTTTGCCTGTATGTATATACCACGTGCATGCAATGCCCACGATGGCTAGAAGAGGACATCAGATCCCCTGGACCTGGAGTTAAGGACTGTTGTGAGCCTCCATGTAGGTGCTGGGAACTAAACTGGGGTCCTGTAAAAGAGCAGCAAGTGCTCTTAACTGCGGAAACATCTCCCCAACTCTGACTATAGATAATTTAAATTTCACCCTCTGAAGCTACAGTGCCCCTCAGACAATCATAAACTTCATGTCGTTATATAAACTCAAAGTAATGAAAACTAAAAAATTAATTCTTCACTTGTACCAGCCCCACACCAAGTATCCTCAAGTCACATATGGCTGATAGTTGCTCTGTCAGCCAGTGCTGCTGCAGAGCACCTGCCATCAGTTCAGAAAGTTCTACTGCAAGTTTCTATAAAGTACATGCATGCACTGCTTTTACCACAAAGAAAAAAAGGAGTCTAAAAAAGTAAAGGTTCCGATGAACCAGTTGTAGAACAAAACCCAAGAGATTTCTTCGGCATGGGCAAAACTTGTATTTTAAAGATGTGACAAACCAGCGAGTGAGCTTTAAAAAGTCAGTATTACTGCTCTCAGTTTCAGAACAGGAAGGAGGAGAAGGGAGTTGGACCATGGGTGACTCAGAAAAAGAGGCTGGAAGAGCACTCCATGTGACAGCTATCAGCTTCTCTTCTCCTTCTTGAGCACACAGCTAAACAAATAGCCTGGATCCTTCTTTTATCTAGGCGGGCACATGTCACTTATTTAGACAAAGGGATGGGGTTAGACAAGGCATCAGCCACCTCTGGCCAGCATCACAGAACGTTCTGCAGTGTCTCCTGTGCTATGCCCTCGTTTTCTGTGCTGTCAGTGAAGAAGCCTCCAGGATAGTGGAATTCACCTGCTCTCTGAGTTTCTGCTTGGAAATATCCACAGGAGCTGTTGGAGTAGGAACATCTGCTGTGGACTTTTAGTAAGAAATAAATTGTTGCTGGGTTATTCCAGTGAGGTTTTGGAGTTGCCGGCAACACATTAATAGTAGCTAGCACTACTTGTCTAACAAATGAAAGCGAGATTTGACCTTCTGTGTAGCAGGTGTTACACATCAGGTCTCCCAGGGAGTCCTGGCCAATCCTTACTCTTGGAATGTTGCTGATTGATGGTATTTTGTTCATGAGGAATAATGGAGCATGCTGGACCAGCTTGTCAGAACAGCCTAGTGAGCTTGATGATGTTTGCCTGGGCTTTGAGATTCAATGATCACAGCTGTTCTTAGAGCAGAAACGTGCCCACTTCACCAGCCCTCTCTAAATGCCTGACTCAAGAGGACTTCCTTGTACAGAGACATCTCTCACACGCACCTGAGTTCACTGCTAGAGAGAGAGAGAGAAAGCATCACTGGTGCAGCCTGACAGCGAAGCAGCTGGAAGCCTGCTTCAGATCTCCTTGGACTTCTGATACATTTCATTTTCCTGCTGCTCCTTCCCTCCCCATCCTTTGCTGTAATAAATCTTAGCCATGAATATAATCTGTTATTGATTCCTGTGATTACTTCCGATGGGTCATTAAAGTTAAAGATGTTCATGAGACGCCCTCACAATACTTCCCATATAAGATTTTTCTCTAGAAATGCAAAGAAGAAAATGCCCTGAAATAAATATGTCTTCTGCCTGGTCTTTACGTATCTTACTAGTATCTATTAGTATTTTAGCCTGAAACTCAAACTCTTGTAAATATGGTCGATGTGGGTCAACTCATAAGAGCTGACTGACAAGTATCACTCTTTGGCTTAAAGAATTTAGGATGGTTATCTGGAATTCTGAGACCACCCAATATGCAACACTTGTTCAAAGTATCCAGCCCACGTGACATCTCTTCAGTGTCTCCTTTATATGTATTACTTACTGTCATCCTCAGTCAGATGAAGTATAAATATACTACAGTAGAGACTGAGAAATTATACCCAGGGCCAAATCCTGTGACTGGCTCTGCATAGTCCATGAGCTAAGATGATTTTAAAATTTTTGAAAAGAAAGAAGCATAATATAAATTATAAGTATTTAAAGTTCAGTTTCTATAAAGTTGTATGGAAACTGTCACATTTTCTACAGCTGTTTTCTTGCTACATCAGCAGAATTAGTAGTGATGACAAACACCATCTGCCTCTCACCCCTGCTACATCGGTAGAGTTAGTAATCAAGACCAAGACTATCTACCCCACACCCCAACCTATATTTACTGTCCAGTTACTGATAGAAAAAGTTCGTTGACCTCTGCTCTAGAGTCCTGAGCATCTCCAGGTGTATGACTTTGGAAGTTTGTCTAAGCATTTGCTTCCCCCCTCAACATTGCTATTTCCATACCCTGAGACACCATCTCAGTGGTCAAGACCACTGAAAACACAGTCTGCTTCAATCTAGATTTAAGGAGAAGTTATGGAGCAAATCACTCACATAGGATCCATAATCCACAGCCAGAGTCTGTAAAGCCCAGGGGAGACCGAGGCCAATCAGGATGTCAAACACGTTGCTCCCGATGGAGTTGGACACGGCCATATCCCCCATCCCTGCAAGGACAAGAGGCCACTAGTGAGGGAGGGGACCTCAGCAGAGGGACAACACGTAGGACTCTCTCAAGTCAAGGCAGCCAGACAGTAGTTTCACTGGATCACATACTTGGTCTTCTCCCAGTTCATCACTGATATGAAAAACAAGAGATGGTAAAACACAGAAACCCACATTCTAAAGACTGTTGAATTTCACTTCAAATATGTTCGCTGATTCAATGTATGTGATTCAAAAATCCACAGTTTGTTCTAAGAATATTGGAGAGTCTGAGCCACCCTTCCAGATGGAGTGAGCTCCACAGTGTACACATTGGCCCACGGGCTTGCCAACGTGCACATTTTAGCACTATCTTTGCCTTGCTCTACTATCTTCATTGATTAACATGAAGATAATGCCCTCAGTAGAATTGACAGAGGACAGCTAAAGGACATTGTGCTAAGTTTTGTTGTCCCGAGAAGGACGTGACTGTCCAGAGTATGGGAGTAGGGGGAACTTTTGGTTTTGAAGTAGAGAAGGGTCTATCATGTGCTGAAAACTGACCTCTGACAACTGTCACTTTGAGAGGTTCTATATTTGGATAAATCTTATTTGGGGGGGGGGTCTGTCTTCTCTAACCTTCATTTTCCTTATCCATGAAATGGGAGCACAATTGTCTCTTACCTCAGAGTTGTGTAAATGAATAAAGATGCACTTAAAGTATACCTCATCCAGTACAGGTTAACTAGTCCTACGTGTATCGCTGTTTTTAGTAATGAACAGATGATAAGAATCACCAGAAGGGAGTGTGGGTGCTGCCTGGACAAGCAGCTGTGCCCTTTCAATGTAGAGCCTCTGTTCCTTATTCCTCTGATCGCAGAAGGTCTTCTGCCAACTTGGTGTTGGGGTTGAGGTCACCCATCTTGCCTTCTAAGCAGGATCTGTTGCCCCCTTGGTTGCTACATGGACCCCCCTCCCCGGGTAGGGAGGCCTTCCTTCTTTCCTTCCCTATTCTTGCTGCCCCTGGAGGTCCCACCTTGTCTGGCCACGATGAGGCTGGCCATGCAGTCAGGCACACTGGTTCCAGCAGCCAGAAAGGTGATCCCCATGATGACATCAGGGATGCCCAGAGTGTAACCGATGATGGTGACCTGGAGGAAGCAGGAAGAGGTAATGAGTCAAGGACTGCTGTGAGCCACCTGTCCATCTCTCTCTGATCAAGACTCAGAAAAGGCTCCAATTTGGCCCATCTCTGGGTGGTGAGGGGAAGCATCTTCTCTGGATATCAACACAGGGGACCATGAACATTGGGTGAGTGAGACCTGGACTGCAAGTCTTAAAATGATGCCCTTACAGAACCCAGACGTCAATGAAAGGTTCGCCTCTCATTTGTTCTTTTCAAGTGATGCAGGCAGCTTGGAGAACTAGATTTTCAGAGAGAAGACAACATTAGAACAACGTATTTGAACTCAAACTGGTCCTGAGAAATGTGGGCTGCCATGCTGTGCTAGGAATGTAGATGGCCATACTGGCAGGTCTGGGATGGGAGTTGACAAGACCTAGAAGGGGCTGGCTTCACACCTTTTAGTCTCATCAGGAAGACCATAACCAGCTTTTCCAATCCAAGTTTTCTTGAAGCTCCCTAACTCTGTTCTCATAAACATCATCTTCTTTACCATAATGACCTTTTTTTTTTTTTTTCTTTTCAGTACCTAGGCACTGGGCTGAATGATGAGTTTTAATTTTCTTAATTCTGTTATTTCCATTCCTTAGATGAGGAAATTGAGGCCCAGAAAGGCATCTGCCCAAGTCCCATGCTGCTGGGAAATGGCAGAGAAGGTTCCAACTCAGACAGGTGGGTTCATCTGCAAGGCAGTCCCTCGGTTTACATGGGAGGTGGATTGCAAAGGGTGGGGCACTGACCCTTGAGAGTTGCCCCGTGGTGCAGATGAGCCATTGTTGCCCTCTAATTTCCTGATAGCAAGATGGAGCAGCAGGCAGTCGGTGAGAGACGATGAAGGAGGCAGGAGGCAATGCCAAATAGCTAGAAAAAGAGACCAATTCCCTCTCTGTGGGCTTAAGGGAGTCTTGTCAGACTCGGAACTCTTAGGTCATCTCAGGATGCCAGTGGGGCCTCCACACTTTCTATAACATCTTGAGGAAATGCAAACCACATGTCACAAGGAGTCAATTCTTCTCATAGCAACTCCTGGGCTGGGGGTGAAAGGACTAGGGGACAGGAATTCAATCTATTGAGATGCGGGTTTGCTCCCTTCCAAGCTAGAGAAAGCTCTCAGTTTCACTCAGTGCTGAATTTAACATGGGGTGGCCTCAGACTTTTGTCTCCAGGAAGAAAAGAGGGAAACATACATTTCTGTTGAGTCTTTGTTAAACAGAACTATAACATCCTGGCCAAGCCTTGTTTTTCCTTCCTAACCCCTGGCTCCATCCCTCAGGACTGTGGCCTGGCTCAGCTGGGATTGACCAGCTGTACTTTAACTATACTTAGGATGTTTGTGGTTGAGCCTGGAGTTCTGGGGAACTGGTGGCACAGGAGGCCTAGCCCAGATCTCTGGCTTCCTCTCTGTGTTTTCCCTATCAGCCACTTCTCAGGATTTATCAGGAACTCCTCCAGAGGGAAGAAGAGAATCTAGATTGGTCAGTTTGCTGATTAGTGGACTTTAGACTTTGAGGCCAGAGACAGCAACCCTGTCTCCCAAACTTGGATTGGGCAGGGCACTCAATAAGTGCGCCAATGAGGGAGAAGCCCCTGGTTACAAGATTTTCAATTAAAAAATCTTTTTTATCTGTGATGTTGAGTCTGCCTGGGGTAAGTATGACTTCATTCTGTCAGGTTTACAAGTTTGTTGTTAACTGCCAAAATAATCTTTTGAAAGCCCTTTTTTTAAAAATTGCCTTTCTGTACAAAACTCAAGCAAGGTTAATTTGCATAATTATGTCATGGCTTTTAATTTCTGCTCAACTCCAATTCTAATGAATTAAGGCTTGCTCCTCAGTTAAAAAGTGTCATCATAAATAAAGCAGTACCTTCTGTAATGGCTGGGTTTCCAAAAACGACTTTGGAGCAAAGAGCCTTTGGGCCCTAGCCCCGTAACCTAATCAGATCATTGGATCATTATTTTAGCCTTGGAAGAGACCCTATTTGAGCACATCCTTTGACTGTGACTCTGTGAGCCGGGGCATTGTTTCCTCCACCCTTGGATGTGGGCCTTGGCCAGTGGAGTGTGGAAGTAATAAGGTAAGTCAATCCTACTAGTGGAGCCACCTAGTGCTTCCACTCACCCCAGGTAGCCGCCAGTCCACAGAAAAAGAGTGAACACAGGAAGTGGATGCTGTTCCAGTCTGCTGCCTAAATCAAATGTAACCAACCATCCTGGAGCTTGGAGCAGAACTGCAGAGCCAGTCCCAGTTAAGAATAATCAAATCAAGTCAACTTGAAGATATGTGAACAGAATGAATGCATGTGATTTTAAACTACTGAGGTGAGATGTGGTTTGTTATGCAGCTTATTGTAGCAATTGCTGACTGAGAGCTATTAGCTGTAACCCCAACTCTAATTCCCCTCTGGTCCAGGGTGTGTTTCTCTCTACAGAGATAATGAGACATAGCAATGCACAGGGTCCTTAACACACTCACCATCCACACCATCATGTAGGAGAAGGCTGCGATCCACAATGTGGAGGAAGCAAATGTCACCATAAACCATTTCTCCCAGTGGGGCTTGTTGCAGTTGGGGACAGTGAAGTACAAGACAAAACTCAGTGGCCAGGTGAATGCCCATTTCACTGTTTCCAGTTTGCCGGCTGGAATGCAAAAAAAAGGAAAGAAAACCCAATCAAGTGAACTTCATTTCTTGATCTGGTAGCCCTCACACTGCTTTCCCCAGAACTAAGTCTTTTCATAGTATTTGCAAATGTCTTTCCACCACCACCCAAACCTGACATACAAATATCAAATAAAATTAAGTCATCCACTGCCCACCTGCTGGTTAGGTCTCCTAAGTAACTGAGTCACTTCTGAGTAATACCAGGCTGGCAGGATGATCCAGCAAAGGAGCCAGGTGGGAAAAGATGAGGTACTCACAAAAGGGTGGAGGGTGCGTAGGGGGCTTGAACTTCTTTGTGGGGAGCTGGGAAGACCACTAGTGTTTTCTCTTCTATTCCCAAATCACAATGTGTCAGCAGACACAGCACCATCTAGTAGAAATTCTCAGTGTTGCACAACTATCGGATGGGATTTGCAAAAGCGTAATTGCCTAACTGTTGGCCTGGGCAAGATGATGGATCTACCAGTAGTGGCCTGCTTTTACCATCTTTGTGTTGTCTGAGTACTTTCAGATCAGAGACACCCAGAAATGCTTATTTGAGCAACTATCCTGCCATGAAGTCCTCGTAACATTGGATTTGACAAACATTAACTTAAGACCTTTGGTTTTCATTATCATCCTGTTCAACTGCCAAGTGGCCCATGGAAAAAAATACGTATGCACCTCTGTGCCACCCACTTCAACTGGGATGCAAGCCATCTTCATCCTCCAGAAAGTTCTTTGTGCTTCTCACTCTGAGCACTATAGATTAGCTTTTGTTGTTCAATTTTAAATGAATTAATCACCTAATACATGTGTATGTTTACTTATGCTGACTGCAGTGTCTTAGCTGGATTGAACTGCCATTAATTTATTCCTTTTAGTTGCTGTGAATATGCGACATTTTGCTTCTCCACTTTCCTGGGGTGGGCACTGGGGCTGTTGCCAGTTTTAGAGTTTTACAGCAGAAGTGGCTACAGTGACCTTGACACAATCATTTCATGGTCATACTTTGATTTGGCTGTAGATCTGGGGGAAGATTGCTAAGTCATGAGGTGGGTGTTTATTTGTAAGAAACTGGGAATAGTTATCTAAATATCATTGAACCATTTAGTATTACCATCAGAGTTTAGGAGGTAATTTTTATTATAATATTGTGACTAGTGATTAATACAAGGTCTAATAAAATTTATTTCATATTATCAGACCAATGTGTGTCCTATTTCATATTCTCTCTTACTAACCTCTGAATGGTTTTTAAAAAACGGCAGAGAAAGTTACCTATTGTTGCTGGCTTCTGATGGCCCCTCTCAGATGGTCAAGGCAGAATAGTCTATCATGAAAAGTGGACCTTCCTCACTGTACAGCATTGGGGTCTGGTCACTTCTCTGACTTAGGAGTTGAGTTGTTCAGTTACTTTAACTCCTAAAGCATCACTTTTATTAATTTTAAAGTATGGATGCAGTAACACTGAGCTTACAGAGTTGTTGGGTGAATTAAAGATGACATGATATTAATGAGGTGGATGAGAGTCCCACTTTCCCCTGAGGCACTGGACAGGTCTCAAATATTGTTAAAATCAGTTAAAATTACTGTTAATGTCCTTTAAGTTCTTACTGTAAGTGTTCCTTCCGGCATTCATTTTCCTGTATATGAGCACAAGCTTCAGGGGATGGGGCAATTGAGTTGCTAACTACTGGACTCTCTGTGCTGCCCTGACTGCACTGAGCCCTTTTGCCAGAACCAGTTACTGTGAACACTCCATAGATACCTTGAGAAAGCTGCACAATGATCACAGCTGGTTGCTTCAGTGCTTGAAGATGCAGCCTCTCCAGGGCTGTTTCACAGTTTGCACTGGATGTTTTGCTATCAGAAGCCTCATGGAACTCTAGATGAACATGTAGCCATTTCTCCATCTAGACCACGTCCCCTATCAGAATGACTTCTGTGATTGGTGTTAAACAGACAATGCTGTGACTAGTGCAAACACAAACTTCTATTTGCATGTAAGGTGGACTGTGATTGATGCGAGTACCTCCCATTTTCATGTGACCTATGCTGTGATTGGTGCAATCACCCCTTCTCTGGCTACATAAAACACAGTGTTTGGCTCAGTGAGTTGCCTGGGAGATGGTTTCCTATATGTCCTCTCCTGGTGTTTTCAACATTAGGTTTAACAAAAGGCTTCTCTCAAGTAGTCTTTTCTTGCCTACATTTTGTAGTATGGGCTGAGCTGTAATAGGGAGAAAAGAGCAGCAGAGGCAACATGGCGGCTGGGGCAGTGGCGCTGATAGCTGGTCATCAGGCTGAGCTGTAAAAGTGGCCAGGCGACAGACTTTTTGACAGCTGAAGTAGAGGCAGCTGAACAATTTGAGGGGACGAACATGGACGATGGAGGAAACAGAGAAAACAGAGAGCAGAGGCTGAAGACTGATGGAAAGGAGCCAGAGAAGAGAAACTGAAGGCCCTGTTGAAGAAGAGTTCCACAGAGCTGTCAAGCTTTTAGGCCTGAGGGTCCCAGACACCCCAGGCCTGAGAGATGCAATGGTGGCTGATGCTAGGGGCTGAGAAATCGTGATACCTAGGCATACTTGGAGAATGCACCACCAACTGCTGACTTCCTAGACCTGCATGAGAGGGCTGTGACACTAGAGGGTGCTATCTGCTGCTGCTCCCACTGGCCTGGCCTTGCTGGTTGCTTCTGTCAAATACTGAAGGATACAAAAGCTGCCACAGACCAGAACCTGAGGAGTTTCCGGCTTACCCATGATTCCTATCCAGGTAGCCAAGACCTCAGTCAGCTGATTGGTAGCATTACAACAGTGGCTAGGACAATGTAAATTTGTAAGTTATTTTAGTCTAAATCCTGTGAGTCATTCCTGATTCTTCCCTTTCTTTTACACCCATGTCCAACTGTGGCACCTGCTTGGGGCATTTCTTTAATCCCCATGGCCACCCCACCCCCTAGGATGGGCACCTGGCTTCTTCAGGTGACTCCGACATTGATGCCTACCTTAGCTCCACCTGAAGCCAGAGGGAGAGGTTCAAAAAGAAAATTGTTCTAGAACTTTCTACTGCCTTCCACTGTCTTTAGAGTAATACCACATTTTCATGCCATGATCTAGGAGACACTTCCTGATTTGGCCCTTGCCTCCCATTTTCCATATTCACACACCACCCATTCTTCAGACATCCCAAGGCCTTTTCTGTCTCAAGGATGCTAAAAAGTATTGTTGCTGCTGCTGCTGCTGCTACTACTACTGCTACTACTACTACTAAAACACTAACAACACTAGTAGTAATAATGTAATTATTTACAATTTAACTAAGAGAGGACAAAGAAAATTATTTGGTTTTGAGAATCTAAGGGTTTTCCATTAATACAGACAAAACATTATTAAGAAATAGTTCTTTCTTATTGGCGACTATGCATCTTGTCATATTTAAGACTTGGGGAGGTGAAGGGGACCCTGAGGTCCCAGAGACTGACTAGATTACTCAAGAATATGACAGCTGTATAGGTTGTTTTGTGAAAGGCTTCAAGGACTGCAGGATCCAGAGTATGGAACTGCACATGTCCCTGAATCTTGCAGTGGAGTAGCGAGGCTTTTACCCATATGGGGTTCTTGGGATTCCCTTGCTGGCCTCTCTTGAGGGGGAGGAGGAGAAAGAGAGAGAGGGAGAGGGAGAGGGAGAGGGGTAGAGGAGGGGCAAGGGGAGGGGGAGGGAGAGGGAGAAAGATTGATTTAAAATACATACTCAATGCCCAAGAGTCAGAAAGAAACAAGCGACCTCCATCTGGTTCTTTAATATTCCTCTGAAAATAGTAACTAGAGAGAAGAAGCAGTCAGAACTTTGGACCAGGAGAACAGGGGAGATGATATTGATTCGATAAAGCTGCCCACAGTTCAGGTCTGTGTCAGCAGGGCTGAGTTTTCCCTGAGATGCTTTCAGGTCTTTTGATTTGGCCTGGGAGGATACTCTGTATGGAAACAGTTTCACTGTCAGCAGAATAGCACTCACACTTTATCCTTTTGTTCTTTACTAACAACAACCTTGAAGGTAGAAATACCTTCAGAATAGCACAGAATAGCCAGTGTCATTCCTTGAGCGAGTCAAGCAACACAGAAAGGTGCTTTGAAAAGGACTTTGAGAAGGCGCGAAGGAGCATATTTCAACTAGTTTGAATGTATGTCTATCTCTGAATAAGAGGAAAAATATTTCCTCTCCTTCAGCATAAGCAGCATCTCTCAACATCTTCTATCTTTTGTTCCATTATCATTTACTCCAAGTAGAGCCCGAGGGGGTATATTTATTTGTTCACTTAACTCAGATTTGTTGGATGCCCTCTAAGCCACTTTTTGCCAGGCTTGGACACAGCATGAATTAAGAACACAAAATTCCTTCCTTGGAGGCCATGCACTGGTGATGATGGACTTTTACGAAAGTTAGCCATTGATGAGGAGGCAAAATAAGGTGGGATGTGGTTTAATGTTCCTTTCAAAGGACTTGCTTCTGTGTTCTATTCCTGACTAAGCTTCTAAGAATGTTTACATCAGATAGAGAAAAAGCAATTGCATAACATTTTAGACCTACAGCAAAACAAATATACATTTGTTGTGATTATCTAAAAATTCCACCTATGAAAAATATATTTTGGTGGGTTTCCTTTCAGACTTTTTTTATGGAAATGTGTTTACGTACATGCAGACCTCTGTCAAGACTTTCTTCACTCAAGAATACATATATATTTATATGTAGATGTGCAAATACATTTACTATATATAGGTATATGTAAAGCATATGTATATAACCTATACATAGATAGCATATGCATCTATAAACATAGTTACATTAATACCTATGTATATACTACATAGGCATATACAACAGCATCCTAAATGTATACAATATACATGTACATAGTCTATGTGTACATATATCAGCCATACATTGCATACTATAAATATATGCACACAAAATAGTCATCTATACATTCCATGTACTTATATGTACATTTAATATATACACACATGTACGCATCATAAAATATACATGTATTTCCATAGTCTGAAATAACTCCTTATGGGAGTTATACCCAGTATAGTCAATCCTGTAGAGAAGTAAGCACTGTAGCTGGGTGACAGAAGCAAAGGAAGGGAACTTGGTGCCATTGCAGGATTACCAGGAGACACCAAAATGTTTTCCCAATGAGTATGGGCCATTTTCAAGCCAAAGGAACTTAGCACAAGCACACTTATCATGGGCTCCCTGGACTCAATCTCTCTGTATGGTGGCAGCTTCCACTGATCTAAGGCATAATCCTGGTTCTTCACCATTGAGACATACCTCCCTGCCTCAGGGAGGGGCCTGATGGGTGCTCAGTCCACGCCTTATAATGGAGGTCCCTAGTCCAGGTATCGGGTTTCCTCGTGGCTTGTGGAAGAGAGCTAAGGTCACAATGGGGATGCCCACTCTTCATTTCAGAGGCAGATCCTGACTTTGAATGAAGGTCTTCTATATCTTAGAAGAAACATGAAGGTCACTGTGTTGCCCTAGTTCTCTAGTTCCTCAGCACTGAAAGTGTGGCCCATGAACCAGAAGCAGCCATGCCACCTGGGGGACTTGTTAGAAATGGAGATTCATGGCCCTTTCCTCGGATCTCCTGCATCTTATCAAGGATGTTTAGGAAATGGCTGATGAAAACTCAGATGCCTGATGTGGGATTGCCAAGCTCTAGATACATGTTTATGTGAAGAGAGGGATTCCTACAGCACGCTACCAACACACAACAGGCTAAGAACACATGGCTCGTGGCCTGAGTCTCCTGCCACCTCTGTTGCCTACATCCTAATCACAGACCACAGAGGGTCTTCCAGCTGGCACAGGGGAAGGTAAGTGTGAGAAGGACTGCACACACCCTGCTGAAAATGAAGGCACCTCATTAGGAGGAACTCGGGGGACCTTTAGAACAATTATCAGACCCAGAGCTCAGCCAGCAAGGACCTTCACAGCTGCAGGAACCAAATTCCGTCATCATTCTGAGTATGTGCTGGGAAAGTTTCTCCCCAGGATCCCTAGAAAGGAACTTGGCCTTGCCCACACCTTGACTATGGTCTTGTGAAGCTCAGAACCCAGCTGGTTTCTGACCTACAGAATCATTAGCTAACCAGTGGGTGTTGTTTTAAGTTGTTAAATTTGTGCTCCTTTAAAAATGTTTCAACAGGGAACTAGTATTTTCACGGATGGAGGGGAGTGTTTAGTCATTTATTACCTAAGATGGTCTTGGTTTTGTTTCATTCTGTCTGATGAGGAAGAAAGTTGGTAAGAAACAGATACAAAGGTGTCAAGATGAAGTAAGAGCCAGCATAGCATACCGCCCCCCCCCATTTCTGCAGGGAATATGTTCCAGTGACCCTAAGGGATGCCCAAAATGTGGATAGTACCAAACCTGATGCATTCTGTTTCTTCCTGAACATTCATCCTGTGATATGGTTTATCAGTTAGTTATAGTAAGGGATTAACAACTAAAGACAAAATAGAACAAATATAATAATATGCTGTAATAAAATTCCCAGCATCACTATGTTTGTCCTTAGGGACCATTGTTAAGTAAATTAAGGATCACCTGAACACAAGCTGTTGATAACACAATGGTCAAAATGACTTCTGAGAAACAGGGATTGAGGGTGGAGGGAGGGTAACATATACAGCATGGATCCGCTGGACAAAGCCCTGGTTCAGGTGAGAAGAGCAATATGATGCTAGATTTCTCTGCACTACTAAGAATGGAGCTCAATTTCACATTTATTATCTTTTGTTTCCATAATTTCCCATTTAATATTTTCAGACTGTGGATGATGACTGGGATGATGACAGTTAACATTGAGAAAGTGAAACCACAGATGGAGGGTAGGGAGAAGAAACCACTGTATACTTTTATTAAGATAACCTAATAACAAGGTGCAATTTAACTTTGGCAGGAGTAGAGGACAGATATTTTTCTAATTAGTTTTGATAAGTACTTATCAAAGTTCCTGTCTGAGGAGTGGAAAGTGGGCTTGGGAGCAGTTCTGGTCTGAGCTGCACTTGTTTGCCCTCTGGACATGGAAAGGAGCGCTCTGGAGCATTGCAAAGGCTTACACATGAGAACACCACAGAATTCAGACACTCTGGGCCCACAGTCCACCACTAAATGGGCTTTCAGGTGGAGTACATAATCCTTTCTCAGATAGTCCTTGTTCAATTTCAAGCATCCAGGGAGACCGCACACACTAAGATTTATGTATTTGATAGTGAATATGAATTAGACCAATACAGACTTCTTTGAATCTGCCAGAAGCTTCTAGAAAGTCTAGCAGGGACACATAATTGTTAGGGATTGGTCTTCTTGTTCTGCTAATGCATGGGGTGGGAGATGGTTACTGGAACATCCAAGTGTAGCAGTCAGAAAAGGACACACTCTGGGGTCCAAGGTCCTGAAAGTTTTTTACATGTCTTGACTCTCCCCTTTAAGGTGCCAGGGCAAGTCCCTGGCCAGCCCCATGGGGTAAAGATTCAAGAACTAGCTTTTACCCAGGTCTGTGTCTCCTGTGATTGCTGCTCTATAAACAGCAGGCTGTGGAAAGTGGAGGGTCCTGAGTAGAAGGAAGAGGAAGTGAGAATAAAGAAACTGGACACACATCCTCCAGAGCTGGCTTCAGCAGGATGTTTCCAGCCTGGATGGATGGAGTGAAGTGCTGCTGACCCTGGACACCAGGCTGACTTGCAGACATGGGTCCTATGCATTTCCACCTTAGCATGAAAAGCCCTGAAGCATGGCTAAAAGGTCAAGAGCGGACCTTCATCCCCAAAATATGTTTGGTTAAAGAGCTCAGATTTCAAACCCTGCTCACTCATATGCTGCAGTCTTTGAGGCTTTCACAACAGAGTCTGCCAACTGCAGACTCTTCATACAACCTGTTTCTGTTCATTAAGAGACTATTTGTGTGTGGGGGAGGCTAGAGAGAGCACTGGCTGCTCTTGCAGAGGACCTGTCTTTGGTTCCCAGCACCCACATGGCATCAATGATCCATAACTCCAGTTCTAGGAGACCCTCTTCTGGTCTCTCCAGGCATTGCACTCAGGCAAAACACTCATTCACATAAAATAAAAAATAAAGATATAAAAATAATTAAAAGAAACTTTTTGAATTGAACAGCAAAAAGATATCTAAGTGAAGAGTATCCACTAAGTGATCCCCAAATAGCTCCCCTACCCTGCCCAGAAGGAGGGCCTCTTACAGGGGGGGTCGAATGGTGTGTATGGCCCTTCATCATCATCCTCATCGTCTTCTTCCTCCTCGTCATTCTCGTTGTTCTCATCCTCGTTCTCATTCTCTGTCTCATTGCCAGCCTCAGCGACCACATCGTCCCTCCGAGTCCCATTCAAGCCTCTGTCTGGGGCACTGCTGGGCCCTGTTCCATTCTCCACTGTGTGTTTAATTGGAATTTTGATGGCCACCTCAGATTCTCCATTGGCATATGCCCTGCTGTTTATCAGTCTTTGTCTCTGGAAAGTGAAAGTGACCTGTTACCATGGTCTGAGGTTGGACAAGTACCTGACACCAAAATACCCAGAGATGGGATGTTCCCCAGCCACTGACAAGGAGATGCTTCCAGAATACTCTAGAGCCAAGTTTTAGGAGCTCCCTCAAACTAGTAATAGATTCAGACAACCTCCCTTTCGGAGGGAAAATTAACCTTCTGTGACCTGTTGGAACTTGAAAATTCCCTTGGAGGAAAATTCCTATATCTGGGGTGAGCAGTTCCTGACACCTGTGCACTGTGGTGTTATCCTCTTCTGCAGATCATGGGAAACCCTTGCTCTTCACGTGAGAAAGCCACAGCACTGTTTTTGGACTAATGTATCAATAAGGCTGTCACTCCACAGCAAAACAAAAGACCAGAGACTCCGACTTGTTTTAAACTATGGTAACCCTTACCTAGCAACTACTTTGGTGCAAGTTCATGACAAAGAATTTTATTGAAATGGAACAATGAAGGAAAACAGGTAGGGGCTAGGGATAGCTCAGTTGGTAGAGTGCATGTACAACATGCTGGGTTGGATCACTAGTACTTCATAAATTGGGAGTGGTGGCACACACTTTTGATCGTAGGCCTCAGAAGGTCAAGGTAATCCTTGATTACAGAATGAGTTTGAGGACAGCCTGGGCTACATGAGATGCTGCCTAAAGGAAAAAAAAAATAGGTGGAGAGGACAGGAGAGTTTTGTTATATAACAGGGAACTAGACTGTGTCTCTGTACATATGGTGGGAAGAGGGAGGACCAGGGTTCACAGCTGGCTCAGTGGGCAAAGACGTTGGAAAGGGACTGAGGCATATTCTTCTGTTAAGCTCTCAGGTACTGCACCTTTCCAATCAGGAAGCTTTTCCTGCTTCCCTCCATTTCCCACCTTCTGCTGTGTTTTCCCAGATACCTCATTGATCAACATGCGACTGGCCATGGAGAGGCGGGTCTTGGGGGGAAAGTGACTCGTGATCATAATTCGAAGGCCAGCCTCAGAGAAAGAAAGCTGGTGTGGGTAGGCTGACAGCAGCTCGTCCACCATGATTACTGACGCTTTGCGGTGGAAATTGGCTAGGGAAACGAGAAAGAGAACACAGTAGCATGGAGCTCAGGAGACAGCGTTCATTCATTCACTGCTCTTCCTTTCCCCTTCACACCTTTGCATCTGCTCATTCGCCCATTCATCCATCCACCTTCTCTCTCTTCCCTTCCCCCTTCTCCTCTCTCCTTTCTTCTCACATCCCATCATTCCCTCCCTCCCTCCCTTTCTCCCTCCCTCCCTTTCTCCCTCCCTCCCTCTCTCCCTTCATTTCTGGAAGATTGCAATGATCAAAATTTGGGTTCATACCAAAATCATGGGTCATATTAATAGCTCATTTGAAATGACTTGAAATGATTTAAACATCACCCAAGAAATAGTATGAATAAGTAATGTAATAGAATTCCTTCTCGTCCACAAAGTGTTTTTTTCCTCACCACTTAGATCTGAGTCATAGGAAAGACTCAATAATCTTTGGTAACCCATCATGCCCAGCAGTGTTCACACTGTGTTGGTAAATGCTTAGGGGTGACTTGTGTGACAGTTGGAGGCCATGTACATATGCTCCTGCACCCATCCTGTGATGTGAATAGACAAAGTGGTGAGGGGTGAACTGTCTACACACAGGACCAGCATTCAGGAGGGGCTTTAGACAAGTCCTGTGCAATATGAAACATTTCACTGACCTCTAAGCCTATCTCTGAAAGAGCAACATATACCCATCATGGGTACCTGGCTGCAGCATTTTTTAGTGCTTGGTCTTGTTTTACAGGCATGAAATGATATCTGGAAATACTGAATATCATCACCATCATCATCATTTTTCCTGTGTGCATGTGTGTGTGTGTGGTGTATACATGTGTGCCCATGTATATGTATGTGGGCATACTTGCCATGTGGGTACGTATAGAGGCCAGAAGTTAATGCTGGAATGTCTTCCTCAATAGCGTCTCCACCTTATTTTCTGAAAATCTTTTGCTGTCTACATGTCCCAGTGCTAGGGTTATAGATAAATAAGCCATGTGGGTGCTGGAGAATCAAACTCAAGTCCTCACATTTGTGTGGTAAGCACTTTACCTACTGAGCCATCTCCCCAGTCCCAGAGTTGGCTAATATTATTAAGCTGCCTTTGGCCCCCACTATGAGTTCCTTTTGTGGTTATAAAGTATCCAGAAGAGAAAAATAAAACTAAATAAAATCCTCATGTGGAATGGTGCTAAATAACACCAAGGTCTTTTATTAAACACATGTATAGTCACTTAGAAAAAGAAATCAAATATCTAATTTTCAAAACCTAATAAATTACCCAGAGAGTCCAACTTCAGAGACAGAGACATAGTTGAAATGACATATATGCTTCCTAATTTATTTTTTGTTTCTTTTCCCCCTGCAAAGTAACCATATAGGACACATTTCAAGGAGAAAATCTTTAAAAAATTAAGTGAAAAATGAAACACGTACGTGAAAAAATTACATGTTATTTTTCTGTGTCCTTCAGAAAAATATTATATATCAGAGAGTACCATGTCGCTTCTCTTAGCATAATGGCTGTTTTATAAGGCCTCCTGAATAGAGGAATTACTTTGAAAACAAAGGTAATTTTCTCTCTCTGTTTGCAGTGTGGAACCTGGGTTAATGTGTCTGAAAGTGAATTTGGACTATGTGATAATGAACTAACAATGCCTATCATTATGAAGCATAGTATGAAGCTTTTTTTGCGTACTTCATCTGATTTATTCATTACAAAAATGATACCCATCTCTCAGGCTCAGAGAGGCTAAGTAACATTTTCATGGTCATACACAAATATGATAAAACCAGTATCTCAAAGCTCATAGTCTTCTCTCCTGGCCCTGCTGTCCTTCATGTTCCCACATCATCTCCAGGATCTGGGGCTCTCCACGGAGCCAGGTTTGAGAGTGGCCCATGAGACAGCTGGATGTAGAGCAGGAGGGCTGGCTCTTCCCTGGGGGCAGCCAGTCTTCTCTCAGTGCCAGCTGGGATACCTGGCTATGGCTGTGTGATGGGCAGACAGACCCCTCCCTTGCACTCTGGCACCCCCTTCCTGGGTGTGGGAACTGCTAGTTACCTTTCTTTTTATTTTAAAAAAATACTTTCTTGTGCAAACATGTGTTAGTAGCATTAAAAATGTAGGAAACAGCATATCTTAAAATGAAATGGAGATCTTCTTTAAAGGGTAAAAACTCTTTCAATTTTATGTCTTACAGGTTTTATACTGAGCTCAATATTGTATGACTGTATTAATTCAACTGTGAACCTAAAAATTTACAGCCACCTTTGAAAGAGATGTATCCTTCTCTGGAATGTGTTACTGAATATGTTAAAGCTGTAATGAAATGCTTCTTCTAAAAAAAAAAACCTTTCTTTTTACTTCATGTATATGAATGTATTGCCTGCATATATGTAAGTGCACCCTTGTCCTGCAATGCTCACAGAGGTCAGGAGAGGGCATCAGATCCCCCAGAACTGGAGTTACAGCCAGTTGTTAGCTGCCATGTGGGGGCTGGGAACCAAACCGTCCTCTGAAAGAGCAGCCAGTGCTCTTAACTGCTGAGCCATCTGTCCAGCTCCAGTTACCTTTCTTAAGTAGCACCACAGTTGCGTCACAGTTGCTGCTGTCATCGATTTCAGCATTGTTGGCCAGTCCATTGACCATGTTCCCAGCACCTTTCGTCCTCCTTTCGAAGCACTGATGTATGCATGCATTGTATCTGCACAAAGCAGTAAGTAGAAAGAATCTATCAGCGCCTGCCCTCTCCCTTTCTGGACTCCACAGTACATTCCCTGTGAATCCTTGTCTGGGTATACTGGGTGAGACCCTGTTTCTAGGTCTATGTGTTACAGTATGCTGGCCATCTAGGCCTATCTGCCTTTCGTTATTTGCAGTCAGAGATTTCATCCTATAAATCCATATGCTCTCATTTCAGGTCTAGTCAGTCCTTGGCTTTATGGAAACATTCTGGGCTACGGTGCTCTGGAATGACCAAGTGGAAGCATGAAGCAGTGCTTCAGGCATGCCCTGGAAAACTTGTGTTGAAGGGAAGAGGCTTTTGCAGGTTGCTAGTATGTTTCCAGCAGGTAAACATTCTGGTCCCTTTACTTGGAGTATTAGAAGTTTCCCAGAGGAATTCTTGAAATCCCACGGGCAAAGGCATGGGCTGAGACTACAGCCTTCTCTCCTAGCCAAAGATCTAAGGGCCAGAGCACTTACTGGCCATGGTATAACCCGTTGAAGCCACGCTTCCACCCCAGCTTGACCTCTAGCCTCCCAGAGGAATGACAGCTGGGCACGACTGCTCTCATTGTGGGCCAGAAGACCACTCAACCTGTCTCCCTCCCTCCTCTCCCTCATCCCTTTTGCTTCCAGACATGAGGCCCTCTTGAGTTCCTTCCTGCAGTGTCCCTGTGCCTAATTCTTCAGTCAGTGTCCCTCTGAGGGCATTAACTGTGATGACTTCATAGCTGTCATGGTAGAGACAGGGGGCCCTGCGTTTGAACCCTCTTATCCATGAACCTTTCCTGGACTCCCTCTCCAGAACCTGTGGCTGTTCCTTTATGGCATGAAAGAAACTGGTCAAGAGTGATGCATGTTGGCTCTGAAAAGGGTGTTGGCAGGCTGATCCTAGAAGTTTCCCTGAATTTATCAATGGGATAGAATCAGAACATCACTATTTTGTAACTTTTGTGAAACAGCAGATCTATGTTGAGCATCAGTGTCTGTTCAACACATTCCCAATGAAAGGCTTTCCCTCTCTATGGGTTAAAATACCAATGTCTTTCCTTATAGCAGAGAGAAAAGCAGTATTTTTACTTTTCTTTCAGGTATAACTATGTAGCCCAGGCTAGTCTGGAACTTTCTACATAGCCCATACTGCTCTGGACTTGAGAACCTCCTGCCTGAGCTGCCTGAGTGCTGGAATTACAGCCTGCTCTACCGTACCTGGCTGAAAGCAGTGTTTGTGCCATTTTTGATTCAGAAGCTATTTTTACAAATAAAGACATGGACTTGCACACAGGTTTGCTTTCAAAGTAAAGTTACATCTTGTTCATTTACTGGGGTTTTGATAACAGGACAGCAATACCATACAAGGGCTTTCTTGAAACCAGATATTACATTGATATCTACCTGCCCACATTCCATCCTTAAAGAACACTTTGAGGTAGAAACTAATTCTATTTTGCAGAAGAGGAAAATGAGATTGAAAATGGCTGAATAACTTGGTCATGTTCCCCCAGCTACTAAGTGGTTGGGTAAGAGGTGCTCCGGGATGAATAAGGAGCATTTACTCTTACCCACCAGACCACACTGCCTTGAAAGAAGTGACCAGGACACACAGAAGTCAGTCCTTGCTAAGACCAAATGTGCTGCATCAGTCCAGAAGGTTTCTATCTGGCCAGTCCAAAATGGCTTTGGATCTTCAGATAGAATGTTTAAAGTCATTTTAAAGCTACCCAGGAGGCAGCTGACGGTTCTAATATATGCTGCACTTTTTTTCACTGATGCAGCTCTGTTTTATATTTTTAATTGAATGTTTTAAATTTTGTGCTTGCACCCTGAAGCTATTTTATTGTGAAGCATGCAATTTTATAAATCAGATTTTATAAAACCCAATGATTAGAGCCTCTGATTGCAGAGGGGGATGGCTGAAGAGCAGAGATTTCAATTTAGAACATGGGACCGGAATTTATGCAGAGACTTCCACGAGCGCACTAGCTGCCATTTGCAGCTTTATTTGTGTCCTGCTGGTTTGAACATCTGGAATGATGGTAAAGCTGAGACCTCAGCAGAAATAAATCTCTTTAGTTACTGTATTTGGTGTGACATGGGGTAGAGGTTAGCTTGTTAACTCAATGTCCACATGTCTGAGGAGAAAATTGTGGCTTTTCTGATGACCCAGTAAAAGGGTGCAGTGGCAGAGGAAGCCTGCTAGCAAAACCCCTCAAACTCCCCTCCCTTTCTGTGTTTAAAGACTACCTCATTCCGCAAAGCATCCGCTAAATTCATGGCAGTGCACATGTTCATCAGAATTCAGACTTAAGACCTCAGTGTCAGGCATTGAGGAGACATTTCATGACAATTCTGGAATCATTGGTGGATCAGCTTCTCCAAAGGGAGATGAAGATTCTCAACTCTGGAAGCCCAAACATAGAGCCTGAAAAAAGCTTTTTTTTTCCTTTTAGGAAGGTGAAATAATTAAATAGAAAACAAAAAAGAAGCCACCAGACTCCTTTGGGGCTTCTGCTCTGTGGCACAGATTCCATGCATAGCTCTACTATTTGAAACAAAGATTAAGATGGCTGTGCCATCTTAAAGCCTTTCTCTTTGGAGCCCAGGAACTTTGGAAAGCCTTTGGGTTGGCTCTGTTTTATTCTGGGAGATCACCAAATGGTGTTTTAAGAGGAAGGTGATTACTTCCATGGTGTGTGACTTCTGGCTTCTTCATCAGCTCCTTCCTGGTAACTCCACACCAGGATATGCTGGAGTGAGGTCCTATTCTAGAAATGCTGGGCCCATGGAGAAGATCTAGATCTGACCATTAGACAGTTCCTCCAGCAGATGTTGGGTGCCATACTGAACAAACGGGCAGTGGACTGCAAACAGTCCACCCTGGACACCAGCCAAGCCAGCCTCCTCCTCCACTGTACATGTGATGCTTGTCAGTGATCACACTGAGTTCTCTGAGCAGGTCTCTCAGGCCCTGGTGGCCGATATTAAGTCTTCCACATCTCACCAGTAAGAAAAACTTACAGTGTCAATTCTAGACATACCTGGTATGTCCAATTTGGCAACTGCTGGGAAGTCCCTGCTTTCTTTTCCCTAGAGATGGTTAATATGCTGGGAGCATGTAAGGGCTGATAGAGTTAAGGAGAATGCCGACAGAAGATAGTAGCTACAGCTCTGCTCTCTGAATGCCTCATCTCAGTGGTACTGGACAGAAATGTGAAGCAGCAGGCTCAAAGCCACGGGGCTTACATTCTACCTAGAGAATGAGAACCATCAGCAATATCATTCTTGATACAAAGTGTAAGCTGCCCTGACTGCAGGAGGGCAAAGAACATATGTCGTGGTAGCTGAAACACGAACAAGTTGTTGGCCATTCTTTCCCTCCAGAGGTGAAGTAGTCTGGGCTGTCTTCAGTGGCTCAATTCCAATAAACAGCACATGGTAGAAGTGATGGTGTGTGACAGCTGAGGAGAGACTGCAAAGGCATGGTAGGCTCTCTCTCTCTCTCTCTCTCTCTCTCTCTCTCTCTCTCTCTCCGAACAAGTTGTTGTCCATTCTTTCCCTCCAGAGGTGAAGTAGTCTGGGCTGTCTTCAGTGGCTCAATTCCAATAAACAGCACATGGTAGAAGTGGTGGTGTGTGACAGCTGAGGAGAGACTGCAAAGGCATGGTAGGCTCTTCCTCTCTCTCTCTCTCTCTCTCTCTCTCTCTCTCTCTCTCTGTCAGATCACTAGCTTTACTCAGGTAGGTGTAAGAAGATATTCATGTGGTGGGGAACCAAGCTGTTCAGCCCACAGGCAGCATCAGCTACCAGGGTGTGGGTGGGGTGTTTCCAAGGCAGAGTCACCAGTCTCAGTCAACTTCATGGCCTCATCCCAAGCCGGTGTCCAACCTGCAATCTCATGAGAGACCCTGAGGCAGGACCACCCCAGTGAGGCAGCACATGGATTCCTAACTCTCAGATAACACAAATTTGTTTTTAAGCCACTAGATTCTAGAGCACTTTGTTACATAGTGACAGGTGACTGATAACAACAGGAGTAGTGGAAGTCTGTGTGGTTCAGTCACTCACTTAGTTCTTGTTCCATCTTCCTGCACCCAGTGCAGATATAAAACTTATTGGATTTTACCTTCTTTTTAATGAAAGCAAGGTTGCAAGATCCTAAAGAGAGAGCAAGAGTTCCAGAGAGCTCCTGAATGAAATACAGAAGCTTTGATTCTGTCAAGTATGGGTTGAAGGATAATTGCTATGGTTACTAATCAAAATGGTAGAGAATCCCAACAGTCACTGCGTCTGTGATGATGGACATTGAAAACCAGACAGACTCCCCTCCTCCACCCCTCTTTCTTCCCCCTCACACAGGGCTGCCTGTGGAACTAGTTCTGGAAATGTGTTTTACTTACTTCATGATGACAATGTAGATGAGGTACATCAGCACAAGGACCAGAGACTCCCACCTGCACATAGACAAGAGCAGTTACAGAAGGCAGGCCCAGGCAGTCGAGTCACTTCAGCCCACACTGTAAATACCTGGCAACTGCCAGGGAGGCAAGGCAGACACACATTTCCTAGTCTGCAAAAGCTTTCTGTGCTGCACAGACCCTTCTACCCCACCTGATGGGAAGATACCTTTCTGGTATATGCTCACCTGAAAGAGTTCTCTGAAAGTGACAAGCCATTGAGCTTATAAGTTGTGTGTATAAATCTGCCACAGGTTAATCATTCACTGGTTATCTTGATACTTTTACAAACAGCAAAATAGAGGAACGGATAAGTGACTGGGAGGGGTGTCAGATGCAGAGGGTCAGGCCAAGGAAGGAGGTGCAGGCAGAGAGAGGAGAGATGCAGAGACAAAAACAATCAAGAGAGACAGGAAGTGTTAAGGAGAGACAAAGAGAGATTCAGGGAGAGATGGGAGAGGGAAGAGGAAAAGAAGAGGGAGAGGGAGACAATGAATCTTTGTGGGTGGGAAGGTGCCGGCAGGAAGGGTAAGACTGAGTGCCAGGGAGCCAGGTCTCGTGGCTCCTGCCTGAAATGGTCCCTAGTGAGTTCTAGGCCAGTGGGGTCCTGGGTTGAAAAATCAAAAAAGCAAATCAAAGCAACAAAGAAAGAATGAGAAAGAAAACTGTCAAAAGAGAGGAAGAAAAACGAGACCCACTGGAATGTCCTTGAGTTTCTTATAATTTGAATTCAAATAAAGTTTGTGGGCCCCTTGTTTAGCTGTGGGATTAACCCAGATAATTGAGGGAGTAACTTGGTTTGGAGAGAGGGGTGCTGGACTGATCTAAGGAGGGAGTTTTAGGTTAACTCTAGCTTTTCTTTTCTCTCTTTCAATTTCATATCTAGAAGGTGATCCTAGAGAAACACGTGTTCTGATGTATGATGACACATAAAGGTTTTGTTGCTGTGATGATTATGAAAAAAGGCCAGACAGTTATTAAATAGGGGATCGGGGCACAACAGAGATATATGGACATCCATCTTTCTTGCAACACTATTCACAGCAGCCATATTTTAGAATCCAACTAGGTACCTGCCAGCAGAGGAATGGACAAAGAAAATGTAGTACATATATACAGTGGAGTATTATTCAGCTCTAAAGAATAATGAAGTTGTGCTGTTTGAAGGAAAATGGATGGAACTGGAGATCATGATATCAAGGAAAATAAGCCAGATTCAGAAAGAAATATCATGCATTTTTCATATATGGAATATGGATAAAAACCCAAGACATAAAAGTAGAAAGGGGGTTGCTATTTGGGAAGGTGGAGGGGAGGAAGGGGGAGGGGAGGAAGGGGAACCAATGGAAGGGAGGAAGGGGGACAACAGACGGGTAATAGAGAATGTGATCAAAGTTCATGATATGGAACCTGTTATTCATGCAATGAATACAGACTAATAAAAAATGAGGAGGACTGGTCATGCAAACCTTGTGTCCACAGTGACAACTCTCATGCCTCCATTAGGAATAATTCTGCCAACATGGAGGTATCCACTGTAGCAAGTGCTCAGGGTGTGAGAGGGGTCACTGGGCATCTGAACTGCCATGGGTCCAGCCATCAAGTCCAGCCATGGTTCTCAGTTTCTCTCCCAGCAAAACCCCTCAAAGGCTGGGTCCACTCTACTGCAGTGCCCCAGCCACTGGGCAGATAGATGCCTCTAGTCTAATCCCGCCATATTGGAACTGGAAGCAATATACACATAGCATGAAATTCTTGCTTAAGGTAGGATTCCCTCATGGCATTCATTTTGAATAAAAACACATCGTAACACGTACAATGTGAGGTCACTGGAAAACAGCCAGCCTCAGGGAAATGTCCGGTTGATGCAAGTCCAGTTCTTGGTTTTCTCTCTCCGTCCCTTTTCTCCTCTTTCCTTTCTTTCCCTTTTCCCTTATTTCCTTCTCTCCTTAAGTTGTCAACTTGATACACCCGGGGAAGAGGGACTCTCAATTGAGAAATTTCCTCTGACAAATTGGCCTGTGGACACGTTTGTGGGGCATTTTCTTGCTGGGTATAGTGGGGCCCAGCCATTGTGGGCAGTTGCATTTCTAGGCAGGTAGACCTGGGCTGTAAAAGAAAGGTAGCTGAGCCAGCCAAGGGAAGCAGCCAGTAAGCAGTGTTCTGCCATGGTCTCTGCTTCAGTTCCCACCCCAGGTTACTGCATGATTCCTATCTGACTTCTCTCAGTGATGGATTGTGACCTGGGAGATGAAATAAACCCTCTTCTCCTCAAGTTGCTTTTGGTCATGTTGCTTTCGACAGCAACAGAGACGCAAACGAGGACACCTTCTTTCTGTTTTTAAAAAGACAAGCTCTCACTCTGTAGCCCAGGCTGTTCTCAAACTTGCAGTCTTTCTGCTTCAGTCTCCATGAAGCCCAGCACTTTCTAAATAGGAACGCTTACACTCTTTCTCATTCTTTCAGATCTTTTTGATTTATTTTGCTCAAAACAAGCCTTCTTATTGCAAGTTCGTGGCCACTTTCAGGGTGTCCCATGGGTGGGGAACACTACCCTGGTCAACATTTCTGGTTAATTTTATGGGTTTGCCGAGGCCTCCTTCATGCTGAGCACACTGGGCTCCCCAGGCCTATGTGATCTCCTCACTGTTCCCTTTGCGTTTTTGCCTAACTGATCATCAGTGGTCTTCCGAGTTGTCTCTGTAGACTCTTTTCCTCAATGCTGTGAGCATCTCAAAATGACCTCCAATTTCATGTCCACTGTGTGTCTACCTCAGTTCATGGAAGTCTGCAGGCCAGTGCTATGCCAGCCTCCTGGCAGCCCAGCTTCCAGGTAGGTAGAATTTCAGGACAGTTTCCCAGGGATGCTTCTCTCTCCTATAGTCACAATTTAAGACTAAAAGGAAGAAACAAAACATCACTCTGGATGTTTTAGTTTCTTCTCCGGCCTTTGGAACTATAACATACACATTCTAGCTTTTTTTCTGACACACCATGAACCTGGCTGACCTGTTAGTGTGAATTCATGGGCCTTGCCTTTCAGGCTGACCTCCTAACAAATGGGCCTCTCATGCTTTCTATTTTAAGTGGCTTTTGGGATTATCTGTCTAACAGATAGATATCCCCTTACCTCTTTTCCTAGACTAGAACTCCACTGTTGAGGCAGCAAATGATCTCAAGAAAGGTAACGCCCACTTTCAGTCCATAGGTTCAATAGTTATTGGTGTAAAGTTGTTATTATTACTCCCCACCTGGCCATCATCTTACTGAAGAGATGTAAGAGGAAAGGATCTGAGAAAGACATAAGAGCCTCTTATTCCTCCTTCTTGTCTGCAATACAAGCTTGATGGCTAGAATCACAGCGTCCCTTTGGGGACCATTAGGGAAAAGGCAGGGGAAACAGCCAGGGTATGTCTGAGGGGCTTGCTATTAAGGAAAATAAACCAACATAGCAGTTGGTTTGCTTTTTAAAATAATCTACTGAAAGCATCCCCAACCGATGGCTGGCTCTCACCTCTTGACTGAACATGAACAGACTGCACCACAGGATGAAGGAAGGGTGAAGGAATCTCAGCAGGGGTAACAGGGGACATCTTGTTTTTATAGAAAGTTGGCTCTGGTTCTACACTTCTAACTGAACCAGCCACAGGTTGAAAATATTTAAAAAATTCTGTGCTGAACATATACAGATGCCTTTGAGGCCTATACTAATCTTGTCAGAGGAACTTAAAGGACAGTTTTTGTCCCTTGCCCTCCAAGGTCAACTAAGTTCCAGGGGACTATGGAGCATCTCTCAAAATGTTCTGTAACTGTGGTAGGTCACCTGTCCTCTTGTTCAGGGAGGGCATGGAGACCCCACCAGATGGACTTGAACCAGTTTCCAGTCTACAAAGAGGAGGGTCAACTCAGAGGAAACATTTCCTCCATGCTTCCAAGTGATACCAGCCATTGTTGAGCAGGACCTTTGATTTATCGTCACAGAGATGGAATTGGTAAAAGAAAGGATCTAGGGGCTCCTCCCAGGCCCATGTGACCCCCGAGGAAGAGATCCTCAAACAACCTTAAGTGTAAAAATGAATTGATTTCTTTGAGCCAACTGTATGGTCTTAAACACCCAAAATGAAAGTATAACCAAAGAGTAAAGTCATCAGCATATTTATTTAAGAGTTCAAGGGATTACACTTCCCAGATATTAAACTTAAGTCCATATAAAAAGCTATTTAGACAATTATTTCTCATTGATGATTTTGTTCCTAATCAGAAAGTGCTGCTCAGATGTAAGACTTCAAATCTTGGTCTGCAGTACAGTAGTGCCCACCTGTAGCTAAGGGAGACAACCTGCTATTGTTCTAAAATAATGTCTAAATTTGTGTTCTCCCCCTATCTAGAAGCCTTTGAGGGGGAACTGACACTGATTCTAACCATTCCAATAGCTATCAAAGTGCCTGAAAGCAAATTCTGAATCCATAAATCTCAAGTCCAGCCTTGGCAGACAAAAGAAAAATGAGGAGGAACCCAATAGAGGGATGCTTTTGGAAGCTCTCGTGAAGAAATTCCAATGGACTCTCATGAACATTTGAAATTTGCCTTGTTCTGACCTTTTTCTAGTTCCCTGTCTAGAACTTGTAACGCTAATTACTCTTGCCTTTACTTCTCCTTCACATCTCCTATTCATGATTCAAGGACTTTCTTTTCCTCTTAGAGACAAGAGTTATGCAATTTGGGAGTCTTTTAGATAGACCCACTGAAGAGGTACCCTAATTGCCTCACCCTGTGTCCCTGTTCAGCATGGAAGAAGCCAGAGTAGTCTGCGTCCCTATTCCCTATCTGCAAATTGGGTAACCTCTTCAGACAATGGTGTGATAAGAACAGGAGGTAGGAATCGGCTAGGCAGTTAGGGTAAAAAGACCCCCCCCCCAAAATAGCCAGTTTCTTGGCTCAAAGTCAAAACGTCCTTGGGCCTCTTAGCAACATACTCTGTTCCAAAGGCCAAAAATGTCTAAAGTATTTGGGAACTCTAATCCTTAAAAGATTTTAGGATTACCTCTTCAGAGGGGGGAATGTTAGAGTAGCAAAAAGCCCCATAAAAAAGGGAAAAAAGAGTACATGAAGTTATCAGGAAAAAGTGATGGGGAGATATGGGAGTTGGAGGGGAGGGAGTGGGCATGGATTTGATCAGAACACCCTATATGCATGTATGAAATTCTCAATAAATTATTTTAAAAAATTCTACCTGTGCTGAACATATACAGATGCCTTTTGTGATCACTTCTGTGATGGTTAGTTTTAACGGTCAACTTGACACAATCATAAATCACTTGGAAAGGGAATCTCAGTGTGGGCTTGTGCAGGTTGGCCTATGGGAGTGTCTGTGGGTAGATTATCTGCATTAGTGTGAAGACCTGCCCACTGTGGGTGATACCATTCTCTTGGCATGGGATCCTGGACTGTGTAAGTGTATAGAAAATGAGCTGAGCACTAGCATGAATGCATTAATTAATTAATTCATTGTCCTCTGTTCTCAACTGTGGAAATAACGGGACCAATTCTTTCAGTCTGCCTCTGTGACTTCCTTGTTAGTTGGACTGGAATTGTGAGCTGAAATGAACTCTTTCTCCCCTAACTTGCTTTTGTCAGATATCTGATCACAGCAACGGGAGATGAAACAAAGTCAACACAATACAGTGTAACAACTATATATTAGGACAATCAAACCAATGCTATTTAAACAGCACTTGCTTTGTACTGGGGATCTGGAGGAAGTTAAAGTACACAGGCAAAAGGAGCTGGAGAGATGGCTGGCTCAGCAGTTAAGAGTGCTGACTATTCTTGCTGAGGAGCTAGGTTCAGTTCCCAGAATCCACATGGCAGCTAACAACTGTGCGTGACTCCAGTTCCAGGGTATCTGATGCCCTCTTCTGAATTCCGTGAGCACTGCATGACACAGATGCACCTACATACATGCAGGCAATACATTCATACACATAAAACAAAAATAATAAATAAAAATTACAAAGTACACAGGAGAAGGTGTACAAAGCTGTGATGTGACATCTTACATACAATTACTGTGACATCTAGTGTATAGGGCTTGAACAACCATAGGTGGCGTCTTTGGCAGTTCTGAAGCTAATTCTCCATAGACACCAAGGGACCACTGCATTTGTATTAAGCAAAGTTCATTTCCTTCTAAAGAGCATTATCATTTTAAAGTAAGCATAGTTGAAATCAGTTTCCTTCTGAGGACTTGGAATAAGTTAATTACCTGCCCTGACTTCTCTAGGACTTGCTGGACTATCCTGTAACAAGAATGGAAGTCACTCTGCAAGGTGTTAACAAATGCTGCTGTGCTTTCACTGTGCTACTGAAGAATCTGATTTTAAAGAGCAAGATAAACTCCTGCCCACATCCTTCCAGCAAAATCAATGCTTGTGATTGGCCAGGCAGGCAGGCAGGCAAGAGAAGTGAACAGTGAAGAACATCTTCAAGTTCATTATATTTTGCATTCCTTGAAATGAGGAGCTGAAATCCCTGGAAGTCTCAGAGCAGCAAAGGACCCATGGTACAGACTTTAATTTCTCGGCCTCATTCATGTGAAAAATTCTTTCCATGAGCCCATGCATGCATTAACAGTGATTATGCAACAGGCCAGCACCCTGGGAAGGATGGGACCCTGGGCCCTGGGAGTCCCTGGCTCAGCTCTTTCTTGGAAGCAAAGACAGAAATTCATGACTCCCATAACCCCAGGCTAGCATCAAGTCCCAAACCCTTTGTAGCTCATTCATCTGTGGCCCTCCTGGCCCCTTACTCCTGACTCCATTTACAGAACAGATGGTGCTCAGGCCCTAGGCCCTGATGGCCTGTTCCTTTGCAGAAGCTAGAATCTTCTAAGTTTTGGGTTCTATTCTAGCACATGTTCACCTAACATCACATGAGGAAACTGAAGCATTTGGAAAATAGGCTGTGTCAGAGTACTGACTGAAGCTGGCTTATCAGAACGCCTGCTTTCATCCTTCCCTGCCACAGTTTTCATGTGGCAATTCTATGGAGTCAGTACAAGAGAGAGCTCCTCCAAAATGGCCAGCCCCCACTCCTAGATGGCCCTTTCCCACAGCAGCAGAACAGTTTCTGAGATCAGCAGTGATTTTAACTTGATGGCCTCTAGAGCAGCACCCTTAGCAAACTAGCCATGCAGAGCAAGGAAAGCACCTGCTGTCTGCCAAGGCAGAGTGCCATCGCCTCAGCGTGCAGGTGATCAGAGGACAACGCCACCATATCAAGTTCAGCATCAAAGGACCTGGGCCTTAGCTGGTGCTCCCAGCCATTCTGACCTCTTTCAGGCTTTTGATGACTATTATTCAAAAAAGCTTATTTTTAAGAATCAGGGTGGAGATTATAGGTCTTAAAGGACATTCTATCCCACACCTCTTCCTTCTCTTAGAAACAGACATTGCAGACTTATCTCTGCCCTGATCATATGATATTCTTTATCACTGTCATAGGCTTCCTGCCATCCCAAGCCAAGTTCCAGAAGCCAGAGTTGAACCAATACAAAGGCATGTCCTCTGTGCTCCTCACTTTTTGTCAACTTGACACACAAGTGTCAAGAAGAGGGAATCTCAGTTGAGGAACTTTCTTCAGCAGATTGGCCTGTGGACTTGTCTGTGGGGCATTTTCTTAACTGTTAATTGATGTACAAGGCCCTAGCCTGCTGTGGGCAGTGCCATCCCTGGGCAGATGGGCCTGGGCTGTATAAGAAAAGTAGCTGGTCAAGCCAGAGGAAACAAGCCAGTAAGCAGCATCTTCTGTGCTTCAGGTCTGTCCTCCTGATTTCTACTTTGAGCTCCTATCCTGGCTTCCCTCAATGGTGGTCTGTAACCTGTAGGCTGTAATAAACTCTCTCCTCTCCAAGTTGCTTTTAGTCATGATGTTTAATCACAGCAGCAAAAGGCAAACTAGGACACCTCCCAACAATGGGTTTGAATAAAGGTTAGAACATTTGCTGAAAGGAAAGCTAGGGAAACTCTATTTTTTCTACTTTTTTTCTAGCTCACTCCTAACTTAAAGTAATGCATGGAAGTTTTATAACTACAGAGTTTCTCTATTTCTAAGACGTCATTTTATATGCTTCAACTTCTGCAGATCAAACATTTGAAAAAATATAGCAAGAATGCACAGAGCACAGTCTTTCTATTTCCATGTTAAACATATTGGACTTGCTCAGAACTCATTTCAAAAGTGGAGATTTGGACAGTTGGTCAAAATGCAAATATCCTCCCATATATTTAATTGGACAAAATTTTCTATCCAAACTATCATTGATTTTCAGAGCCACAAGATTCCTTTTTGAATCTCAGCAGCGCTTTAGTGGGATAAACGTTCCTGATGTGCTTGATCCCAACTCACAAGACACCCTGAGGTCTGGGATGTCGAACTTAGTTTGAACAATTCTATACCTGGGATCTGGAGTGTTCTCCCAAAGACCCATACGTTAAAGGTTGGTTCTCAGCTTGGTGCTATTGGGATGTGGTGAACACTTGGAGAGGTAGGGCCCAGAGAAGACTTGGGGCCATTAGGGATGTGTCCTTCAGGAAAACTGTGGAACCCCTGTCTCTTCTCTTTCTCTTGATTTCTGGTCATAGGGTGAGTATGAGTAATTTCATTTTGACAAACACCTCCTGCCTGCCACCATTATGACGCACCTTGTCACAGGCCCAAAAGCAATGGAGCCAGATTAACATGAACTGACCACCAGAACTGGGAGCCAAAATGAACCTTTTCTCTTTATAAGGTGATTATAATATTTTGTTACAGTAATGGAAAGTGGACTAACACAGATATAAAAAGTTTAGCCAAACCTCAACCACAGCCCAGCAATGGCTGGTAATAGAGAGGTACAGAGAACTCACAATGTCCAACCTCTGTGATAAAGACACCTAGATATAAAGATATGAGCCTCATCACTTCAGCCCAAGGGAAGCTCTCTGCTTGGTAAAAGGAATGTGATGTCTTTGTTATGAATACAGGAGGATCCTAAGAAATGGGTCATTCCAAGCTGTCATGACATTTCCTTCCTTCCTTCCTTCCTTCCTTCCTTCCTTCCTTCCTTCCTTCCTTCCTTCCTTCCCCCTCCCGCCGTCCCTCTCTCCCTCCCCACTTCCCTCCCTCCCTCCCTCCTTCCTTCCTTCCTTTGTATGTGCGCCCTCCCCCCCTCCCTCCCTTCCTTCCTTCCTTCCTTCCTTCCTTCCTTCCTTCCTTCCTTCCTAGTTTGTATATGCATGAGTTCTATGGTGCATGTGTCAGAAGACAGCAGGAGTTATTTCTTTCTATCATGTGGGTTCTGGAGATTGAACTCAGATCATCAGGCTTGGTGGCAAGTGCCTTTACCTGCTGATCCATTTTGCTAGCCCCTCCTTCCTTTCCTAAACCTCAACTCTAACCTCCAATGTATTTGGATCAGCAACATAACAAGAGAAAGTTAGAAGGGAAAAAGATGTACTTACCAAGACACTTTTTCATCATAAATGAACTGTGAATAAATAAGAAGAAAGAGGGTTAGACACATATGCACCATACACACACATAATGCTTTAAGATGGTATGCTGCTAACATTTGCAGCCAACATGATGGCATTAGGGGCTGGGCTGGAACGTCAGGCACCTGTGGACAAGCTATTTCTGTACTGGCCAGTCTTTGGCCAGTGCTAATGAAGGAAATGTGGTGGGAAGATTGGGCGGGCATGTGTGGAGGGAGAGGAGCCAGGTGATCCCATTCTCCCTGCAGTTTCCATCCAAGGGTGGGAAGGGTGACTGCTCTGCTTCATAAAACAAGGCACATTGTGGAATTTAGGTCTAGAAGGGGAAGTAGGAGCTTGGTAGGTTCTAAATGCTGGTCCCTTAGGTGCCACTGGTGACATTTCTATGCATTTCAGGGAACCATGTAGCCCCATTTACAGTTCTGACATTCCATGTGCTCGACATTGCCTTTTTAATTGGCTCCTTTTGTTTCTAAGGGAGACCTTATATCACAAGGCGAGGTGGGGGATCAGTATCTCTTAGCATCCCACATGGAAGGTGATCTTGAGAAAGCTGAGTGAGGAGGCAAAAAACTGTCTTGTAGATCCCAGGCACTGTTGGCTGCCGATGCCTGCACCACGGCCTGACCTTCTGTTAAGGAAGGCGGCTAGGAAGGGCCAGAAACAATGAAGGAAACACGTGCCAAACTGAGATTTTATTTTTATCTGTGTGGACCAAGAGAACATTTACAACAAAGTTTAATGAGTTAACCTCCAATCTACACACATGTAAGATCATTTCCCACTTTGGGGGAAAATCCCGTTATAATCCTTTGATTTATACAGAGAAATAAAACTTCAGGAAACCTAATTTCTGGAGTTGTTCATCTGTTGCAGAACTGATTCCAGGGCTCAGCCCTGGCTCATAATTTGAGTTTCTTTTCATGGCACATGTATAAGTCCAAATGACTTAGAGAAATCATAAAAGTGCACCTGTTAATCAGTCAGAAAGCCAAGGACGTGGTTCATGTGACTGCTCTGACCCTGGGGCTCTGTGGGTGGCACTTCCTATGGAGGCAGAAGCTTGCAGGACAATCTGGGTGTACAGTGTCATTATGACAGCAAGACAGTAAATGTAGCTAACGCTGTGGGCATCGCTTTGTTCTCTAGTGATTATAACAATTTCCAGTTGCCTGAGACAGAAAAGACACTGCAAAGATGGCTCCCAAGACACACAAGGAGCTCTCTTAAATTATCTTGAAGGTCTAAAGGAGAAGAACGAGAAGGAAGGAGCCATGTGTATTTGTAACTAGGTCTAACAAGCAGTTGAAAAAAATGTTGGTTCATCATTTTTGTTACTTACGTCTTCGCCATCGAGTTCGACAAATTCACATTTGGATGAAAATTCCAAACCAAAATGGGAGGAGGATGAAAGAAGTCAAAGAAACAGCCCCATGATCTAGGCTGGATGGTGTGGAAGGAATCTAGTCCCTGGAAGGATTTAGTTGTCAGTTGCTTTACACAATCATTAGCTTTAACAAATTGTTATCAAGAAATAATGGAAGAGCACCAATTGTTTAAGGTGGAAAGCATTTTTATTAACTACTTAATTCAATATTAGTCTTAGCAATGGGGCTGGAAAAATTATTTCATAGCTACTCAAGAGAATACGAGATACTGGGAGAGAGTTTATTAAATCAGGACAATTTAATTTTCTTCTATCGGAGAAGGCAGGTGATACATATATGAAAACAGCTTTTAGGAAGCTTGTATTCTGTATAAGCTGCCCCACAGACAGGGCCACAGATCTACAGAGGGACTGGATGAGAGTTCACTAGTCTTGTTACAGAAATACCCCTGTGGCTTTCTAGGATCAACCTTGGGCCACTATGGCTTTAGCTACTGACTATTTGAAGAAAAAAAATGGACCTAATTATACAAAAGTCCTTGTTGTGGTTTGAGTGTGAAATGTCCCGCACAGGTTGAATACTTGGTCCCCAGCTGGCGGTGCTCCCTTGGGAGGCTGTGGTACCTTTGTAATAAAGGCTTAGTTAGGAGAACTGAGCCACTGACCTTGTAGGAATCTGCTTCTGCTTCTGGCCCAAGCTCTCTGCTTCCTGATCCATTAGGAAGTGAACAGGGTACCTCACATTCCTTCTCCCACAGACAGACTTCCCTGCCATGTTGGCCTGTACCCTCTGAAACTACGAGCCCGAATAAACTTCTTTAACTTGCTACTGTCAGGTGTTTTGTTACAGTGAAAAGTAACCAGCACAGTCCCAAAATGAGAACAGAGTTTACAGGGAGATCAGAAAAACAGCAGGCAGACCTAGACGGCATGGGGTAAGCTACTAGCTGTAGGCATCATGAGCCTGAGGGATTTTTGTGGTGGTAGGGGTGAGGAGTGAGGGATTGTGGTTTAGGGAGTCAGACACAGAAAGAGAAATGAGGTCATCTTGCTTCAAGTTCTAATACATGGTAGAGATCTTCTGTTGTATCCGAACAACAGATACAGTTTTCCCTTTGATCTCTTCCTGGCCTGAGGACGACCCATGACTCAGGGCAGGGCTGCTGCAGCTGTGGAGGAAGAGACTGCCCACAAAGCCAGGGGGCTTAGCTGCCCTGTGGCTGATACACAAACACAGTGCAGTTTATCCCTCTACCTTAAGAGGACTGTGTAGAGAAATGAGAAAATGCAGGAAAGATGGAATAAAGGGACTCAAAATCTAGGTGGAAATAGGCTTGTTTCTTGTAGGAAAGGAAGGAAAGGAGGGGAGGTTAGTTATGAACCACTGTGAGTATCAGTGGAGGGCAGTGGTGGGATTGGGGCAGCAGAGCAGCAGCTGGCATCCTCTCCAGGAAGACTGAAAATGAGGACATCAGCAAAGATAGCAGAATATTCTCTAGAAAGACATTGTGGAATCTGATGGGGCCCTAGTATCACTCTGTCTGGAAACTTAAAACGACGACAGGTGTTAAGACTTGCTTGAGGATGGTGGTTGGGAAGAATAGATTTGATGTCTTTACAGATTTTATTTAACTCTCTTGTGATAAATAATGAAAATCTCTCTCTTTTTACGTTCTACCTGTAAGTGGAAATAAAACAGCCCCCCGCCCCCCCCTTATAGGAACAGATCAGACTGTAGAGGAAAAGAAACCTGAAATCATTCAACAAGAAACGCCAACCCTTGTTTCATCCTATCACCACTAGATGGCACGCATGTTCCATCCCTCCAACCGTGTTGCCCCTACCAAGGTAATGAACTTGAAATGAAGTCAGTTCAAGTCCATTTTCAAAGCTCTGGTAAATCTGCGGAGTGGAGGCTCCTCAAGGCAGGCAGCCTACTGAAGAGCCTACAGCCAGCATATAGCCGCATGAGACAAGGTGGGGACAAGCCATTATCTATGTCAACATTTAATCTAGTGAGTTGTAACCAACTGATCTCCTTTTCTGTGTTTGGAACAGATCCAGGCTTTTCCCATTGAAAGCAAGCCTTGAGTACGCTCTGCTGCTCTGTGCTCTGTGTTTGAGGCCAGGCACAAGATGGCCCAGAGACCACACAGCCAGTGGTGATGAAAGCTGGGCCTCAGATTTGCTGAGCAAGGGCTGGGCTGGGCCTCTGACCCACATGTGTATCATCCAAAGCTATCCATGGCTTTGCCCTCAGGTTTCCGTGTATCCTGCAGCTGTGCTAAATATGAACAAACAGAAATGAATTTGACAAAAGCATTCATTTCCTCCAGACTTCAGAGAAATGGCTGGGTACCATGGAAACTAGCTTGTCAATCCTGGTATCTGCTCCAGAGTTCCTTCAAGCAAGACAGGCTAAATTCAGGCAGGTGAATCCCTGGATGTTAGAGCATCTTGGGGGAACTGCCAAGGGAATGGCTCCCTCAGGATGGAAGAACAGCAAAAAACAAGTCAGGAATGGCTTAGTTATAATAAGGAGAGGAGAGGAGAGGGTAGAGAGGGTGGGCAAGTGGCTGCCTTAGTATCAGCACAGTAGTCCCAGGCTTTGCTTCCTGGAAGCGCTAGCCACAAAACAGGGATGGCCACGTGGCTGAGATTCAGAGCCTCCATCACAGTCACTGGTATTGCTAGAATTTTAAGCAGTGAAAATGATGGGAGAAAATCAAGAGCATCATTTTCTTTCAAGAGGCTGAAACCTTGAAAATCTTTCTTTTCTAACTATCATTTGGAGATTGCCTTCCCCCATAGACCCTTCTCATTCAACAGCATGGGGACCCCCTCAGCTGATCTGCATTTACAGCATCATAGCTTCAAGTCTGGGAGCAGGTGGTGCAGGTAGTTTAGCTCAGGAGAGGAATCCAATGGGACATCCTAGAAAGCTGGTTGTTTTGTGCCACACGATGCTCTATGCTTTAAGGATAATGCAATTTTATACTTCAAGACACTGGGAGGGTAACCAGATGGTGTTAGCTGGCTGCAGGAAGTAGGGTAAGAAATAAAGGGCTTGAGAAGTGAAGTACTGACCATCCATAGAAGTATGTAAGTACCAGTCACAGACAGGGTAGAAGAATGATGGGAAGATGCATTTAGTAGGAGATGAGGGTTGCTGAGTTAGGGCTGTAGCTGAGCAATGCAAAAGCAATGAAGTACAGACTAAGATTTTCAAGTCCTTTTCCTTGTAAAAGAGGCTGACTCCACACTGCAAGCTGACCTGTGTCTCTATTAAAAGAACAAATGCAAGGATGAACTCAGCCTCCCAGTATCCCTAGCATCACTGAAAGCAGGCCATCCTTATCAGGGATTGCAAAAACAGTTAATCTTTGTACGACCACGGTCAATTTGTTTCAGGACCTTAACATTCTGTCATAGTCACGTTTGTGAGAATCCCATCATTCCGTAAACCACTGCTACAACATATTGTTGTTACTCCTACTTGGCCAGAAGGAGAGCTAAAACGAAACTGGAGTACAATAAGCATAAGACAATCAAGGTCTCCAAACGGGAGCAAGCAGTTAATTCCCAGTGAAGAACGGGACCAAGAAG